CTTACCGCAGTGATAACCTCGCTTCCCGGCCTTTCGCAACACCCTACGGTCTCCCTTCCTCCAACATTAACGCCGGACGAGCCCCTTACGACCGCCGCTCTCCAAGCCCTGTCACGCCAGCTGAAGCCCGTCGTCGTCGTTCACCCTCGCCTTATCCTGCTCGTCGCCGTTCCATTTCGCCCTTCAATGACAACGCAGTGGCTTCCACCTCCCACCAGTCAAACTGAACACCGCAGCCTGCATCGACAATGGAGGTCAGGCTGCACCTGCACAATTTGTGGCAAATCCTCCGTTTGTAGGACCGACTAACATAACTGTGGAAATTGGACGGCAAACATTTCATGCTCTTATAGACACTGGCGCAGCCAAATCGTGTATTCCTGAACGCCTCCGACGACACTTGCGCAAAGTACTCACGCCCCCCTCCAGTGGACACTTGTTACGTATGGGTAATGGTGAATTGGTCCAGCCGCTCGGATACTGTTCCGCGTCAGTGAAGGTAGGCCGCAGTCGATATGTTATCCTGTTCACTGTACTCACAAGTTGCATCGCGGACGTCATCCTTGGATGGGATTTCTTATCTTCAACAGCCGCTTTCATTGATTGTGCAAATCGTGAAATTCATCTCAGCCCTTCAGAATACGGTAATGAACATTTTGAAGCACCACTAGCCACTCTTCACATTGAACATGATTTACTCCTACCGCCCCAGTCGGCAGTCGTTGCAACTCTCGTCGTCGCCAACCCAGTCGCAAGTACTGTCGCTCTCATCGAACCTCTCCACACCTGTCTAGAGAAAAAAGGAATTGTGATTCTTTATTCTCTCGCCACCATTGCCGACGATAAGTGTTACATATGGATAACCAACACTTCAACCCATCCTCAAATCCTCCCCCGAAGAACGCGCATTGCCACCCTCCAAGTGCATATTGAACACAGCTTGGCTGCACTTTCCACGACTGCCGCTCATACCAGACCGATTGCGGAAAATAACGTCACCGAAAAACTGGAGAGGATGATCGCCTCAACCGTCGTCCAAGCCGAACGTATCAAATTGCGCACTCTTCTTGCATCTTATAGCAGTGTCTTTGATTTCACTGACCAGGTATTAACCCGTACCACACTTGTGGAGCATCATATCGACACCGGTGACTCCCCGCCCCTCAGGAGCAGACCATACCGAACATCCGCTGCAGAACGAAGATTGATACAAAATCACATCACTGACATGCTGGACAAAGGTGTGATCGAGCCTTCCTCCAGTCCCTGGTCGTCGCCCGTCGTTCTAGTAAAAAAGAAGGATGGTACCTGGCGCTTTTGTGTCGACTATCGCCGCCTTAACAAAGTGACTCGAAAAGACGTATACCCACTTCCCCGGATAGATGATACGCTTGATACGCTACAAGGCTCGTCCTACTTTTCATCCATGGACCTCCGAAGTGGCTATTGGCAAGTTCCAGTTACTTCGGCTGATAGACCTAAAACAGCATTTATAACACCTGAAGGCCTTTACCACTTCAACGTTATGCCTTTCGGACTCTGTAATGCGCCTGCGACATTCGAGCGCATGATGGACGTTCTCCTTCGTGGCCTCTCTTGGAACATCTGCCTTTGTTACCTGGACGATATTGTTGTCTTTTCTTCAAACTTCGACAACCACCTATCTCGTCTCCGCACGGTCCTTGACTGCATTCGTGCTGCTGGGTTACAATTGAACTCAAAAAAATGTATTTTTGCCGCCAAGAAAATCAAAGTGCTCGGTCACCTGGTCAGCGCAGATGGAATACGCCCAGACCCAGACAAAACACGAGCTGTGTCCGACTTCCCGGTCCCACAAAATGTCAAGGACTTGAGAACATTTCTGGGCTTATGCACGTACTTCAGAAAATTTATTTCCGGATTTTCTCATATCGCTGAGCCGCTCAATCAGCTGCTACGCAGAGACGCATCTTTTGAATGGGGCCCACACCAGGAAACATCATTTGAAACACTCAAGACAGCATTAACGTCGGCTCCAGTCTTGGGCCACTTCGTCGAAGGTGCCGACACCGAGGTACGCACCGATGCCAGTGGCCACGGTATAGGCGCCGTTCTCGCTCAAAGCCACAATGGCCAGCAACGTGTCATTGCCTATGCTAGCCGAACACTTAACAAAAGCGAACGCAACTTTTCGACTACTGAAAAAGAATGCTTAGCCGTCATTTGGGCTGTCTCCAAGTTTCGTCCCTATTTGTATGGATCCCCATTTCGTATCGTGACTGATCACCACGCGCTTTGCTGGTTGGCTAGCCTCAAGGACCCCTCGGGACGTCTAGGTCGTTGGTCCTTAAAGCTTCAAGACTACCTTTTCACCGTCGTCTACAAGTCAGGGAAACGACACCTCGACGCTGACGGATTATCTCGATGTCCTCTTGCTGACGATACAACCATTTCTCTCCAGACACAAACCTCACATGCTACAGCAACTCTCGATAACATCGACATGGCTTCAGCGCAACTGTCTGACGATTCCTTGAAACCGCTGATTCATTACTTACAAGGCGTCGCAACATCCTGCACTCAACGCACTAAACGACGCGCCCGTCTATTTATTATTCAGAATAATGTCCTTTATAGACGCAACTACGAGCCCCAAGGACGACAATGGCTTCTTGTGGTTCCGCGACAATTACAGAAACAAATTATTCAAGCGAATCACGACGACCCAACAGCCGGTCACCTCGGCTTTGCTAAAACGTATTTCAGAATACGCTCTAGATTCTTCTGGACTGGCATGCACCGTACCATAAATAAGTATGTTCGCGCATGCCATTCATGCCAGACCAAGAAAAGACCCACAACAGCACCTCCTGGGCCTCTCCGACCCCTTTCTCCACCGAACCACCCATTCGAGCGCATTGGAATTGACTTTCTGGGGCCCTTCCCCCAGTCACAAGCCCAAAACCGATGGATCATCGTAGCTGTCGACTACTTAACACGCTACGCCGAAACCAAAGCGCTCCCGACCGCCACGGCCCTTCATGCAGCCGATTTCTTTCTCCATTCCATCCTTCTTCGACACGGCGCCCCTCAGTCCATCATCACAGACCGGGGAACGCCTTTTGTTGCAAACCTCCTCCATGAGGTTTGCCGCCTTGCAAACACTATTCATCACATCACGACCGCCTACCATCCCCAAACGAATGGCTTGGCAGAGCGATTTAATCACTCTCTAGCCGATATGATGTCCATGTACATTACTGACGATCAGGACAACTGGGATTTTATTTTGCCCTACGTTACATACGCGTATAACACCAGCCGTCAAGCCACTACTGGTTACTCCCCTTATTATCTCCTATATGCTCGCGAGCCGTTATCTACCATTGACACATTGTTGCCATATATAGAAGATTCTTCTCTCGACAATTACGCCCAAGACGTTCTCTACCGTGCTGAAGAAGTCAGGCAGCTCTCACGTATTCGCACGCTTGCATCACAACAACAACAAATCATTCGTCACGCCGAGCACCACCCTCCAGTTTCATACAATATCGGTACAGAGGTTCTTGTTTGGACACCGTCTCGCCAGCCCGGAAAATGTGAAAAGCTCCAAAAACAATTCCGAGGCCCTTTCCGTATTTCTCGCCAGCTGTCACCTACCAACTACGAAGTAACTGCGGTACTTCCGCCACGAGACAACCGCACAAAATCTACCGATATCGTCCACATCGCCCGCCTCAAACCCTACCACCGCCAAGCTCCCTAACCACAAGGGCCGGTGGACCGGCCCTCTTTGCAAGGGGAGGCACCTGTTAGGACGAAAGAAGAAGCTGCATCTCGACCGGTGCCCGCAGACCTCGTGCAGCGCTAGAAGCTCGTGCTGTGCTCGGCCGTTGCTCGAACCGTTATATTGGTGACACCACTGTAATCGCTCCTCGCTCATTGTATAAACCCCATCTATTCATCAACATCAACATCAACAGTATATATATATACATATATATATATATATATATATATATATAACGGGCATGGCTGGCGAAAGGCCGAAGGCGTGGGTATATAACTGAGAAGAAAAGAACCCTTAGTGCAAAAAGCAACAACGGACGATTTAATCTTCGACGTTTCGGCCGGAGTCCGGCCTTCGTCCTGACGAAGGCCGGACTCCGGCCGAAACGTCGAAGATTAAATCGTCCGTTGTTGCTGTTTTCACTAAGGGTTCTTTTCTTCTTCTATATATATATATATGTGTGTGTGTGTGAGAGTGTGTGTGTGTGTGTTTTAAAAATCTAGTTTTATGCTGTTTGACTGAGCAAAGTATATTTTTAGCGTTATACTTTTTTGCACCCGGACGTCAGAAGCCATGAAAGCAAATCCAATTCTGTGAGAGTTTCATGTGCCCTTCGGGATAAGCGCAGCGAAACGCGCATGGAACCTGGTCTCGTGACACGTTCACAGCTCTGGGTTGAGACTGGTATGGCTCGTAGCGTTGGCCATCCATCGGAAGGTGAAACGGAATGTGGTCAGTCGAAGTGAAAAAAAAAAGTCACTTTGCTTGCACGTTTCTTCAAATGCAATAAAAGTGCGATAGCCATTGATGAGAACTTTACCGACCAGCCACTTGCTGTCGGAATGGTAGACAATTCGCAACACGGTAAAGTAATTGTGAATGAATAAAGCACTTTTCTTAATCCACGCACCTATACTTTAAGGGTATTACATCATCTTTTTTTTAATTTCTCCGAGCTTGCCAGATTGCGCTACTATCACCCTATTCCCTTTTCTGCGCACTGAAAAGGGGGAGGTGGGCGCCATTGGTCGAGCCTTATGACGTCAAGCGACAGAAGGGAATGTCAGCCACAGGGAAGGAGTGTTAGCCGTGGAGAGCCTCGCATCCACAACAAAGCAACACTCCGTTGCTGGCACTTCTTTCATTGCTCACTACGGTCGGACCAACGCGAGTAAGGAAGATCGTTGAAGGGAGTGGAGTGATCGCATAGGAAGCTATCGATTGTAAAATGATTTCCGGGTCCCTTCGAGTCCCGTACCGAGCCCGGGGGCCTCTTGAACCTGACCCCTGCCTCCGCGCTACGCAGGAGGGCGGCTCGCAGGCTTCGACGCTCAGCTGCCGTGGCGGTCCCGAGTGCCACGAGTTCGTCCCCGTCACCGAGACGCCCGGACCCAGCAACGCGGCCCACAGGCTTTCTTTTCCTAGCGGCATCGAGAGGCACCTGGCCCGCCTGCACAGGTCAGCGAACGAAGGCGAAGCCTGACTTTCGACATCCCGCATATTCTCTCGGCTGATATCTTTGAGGCATCTTAAAGAGCCACTGAACTTTCGAAATATTTTTAAATGCCTTAATGGAGCACGTATGTCACAAATTAAAGTTTAACCTAAAAAAAGTTGTGGAGCTATATTTAAGTCACGACGCTCATTCTGAGTGTCGGGATGTGCTCCTATTTTATGGATCTTTTTTCGAACGACGTGCCGAAATAGAAACACATTTTGGTATCGTTTCCCCCTGAAAATCATCCTCACAGCGTAAGTATTGCGGTAAGCAGGGAGTTTCCGAGAAAAGGGAACGGTTTTTTTCGACCCGGTCAATAAACTATGCATTGCGCAAAGCTCAAACTTCTTGAGAATGTAAAGCTAGCGGCTGGAATAAACGCGAACGTTTGAAAATATGTAGAAGATATGACGTTACCTGGACTAAGACATAACTGAGATAAACACACCTTCACCATGAGCCGACGTACACCTTAGCCTAATTTCGTAACAGAAAATACACTGTGGGCGCCTGCAGCACCTATTTCAGTGAAACAATCTTGGTAGCAAGAAAGAAGAGATTATTTTCTTTCTGGCAGACAAATGTATTTCCTGATATAAATCCCACGAACGTTCAAAATAGAATTTTCTTTTTTCACGCTATTAGGCTTAAGTGGACGTCCGCTCACAGAGAAATATTGGTTTTCTCAATTATTATTTAATCCAGGCAACGTCATTTTTTTTCAAATTGAGCGTTCCATCACAACCGCTAACTTCACATTCTCACGGTATTTGAGTTTTCTGCAATGCATAGTTTACTTATCCGGGCCGGAAAACACGACAAGCAATATCCCTGGAGAAGAGGAACAAAGGACAAACGCAAATCTCTAAACGCAACTAAACACAACGAAAATAATGCCCTTCTCCCGGGATTATTTTCGTCATTCTTGTTCAGCTCGCTTGCACCTCTGAATTTAATTTTATTACAACCGAAAAACATGTTTCTTTTATTTCTCAAAACTATCTTTAAAAGCTTTTTTTGAAGATTTTTTTCATTGATCTGGAATGCGCTCATTTTAAAATGTTGCTGAGAGGTTAGGTGCAATTTCGTAACGCGCTATTATTTCGGGTCGACGTGCCGAAAAGTCTGAGTCGCTTTTATATTTACAACGGTTTAACTTAAATAAATCGCACGGTTTAAAAATATCACCCTGCAATGTCGCGAGCAGATACACCTTTTAACAGCGGAAAAATGATCAGCGAGTTTCACGCATCTATTCACACATTTAATATTTAATTTTTTTCCCGGAAAATAACTGCATCAAATCATTTGTCAAATAATATCCTCGATAGCTCGAATGTAGAAACGTCAATGGCCCATTATTGCGCCCTCGTGATAATATTTTTGTTACCGATTAATTTAATAATTGCTCGGTGATATATTATTTCCATGCCTCTTTGTATCGCTCTGCCTAATTGTTGTTTAGGCGTGATTTATGTTGTTCACTCCTGCTTTAACTCAGATGAGGTATCAGTATTATTAAATAACTAAATAAATAAATAATAAATAAATATCGAAATTGGTCTCGCCACCTAAATATTGCACTAAACTTATCCTTTTCGTGGAAAGTTTATTTTGTGAAATGCGTGTCCTATACAGAAGTTAATGAATTTGTTTTTGGTAGTTAAGTTTACATTTGATCGAGGGCAAGGAAGCCAGAAATGTGCAGTGTGTGTCACGACAGAAGAAAAATGAGTTGTTTTAAGAGCACCGCCTCGCCATGTAACAAGGGTGTCAAAGGTTCACAAACTCCCTAAGATGGCACAGCCTTTCTAAGGGCTGTACATGGATGATGTGCGTCACTCGAGGAACCACTCGTTCTCGCGCGCATGTTTACAACGCCCCTATATGCACCTCGCGACCCGCGTGGCCTTGTACGCAGGCTTCTAAACAGACAGTGCCCCTGTCGGGAGACGTGTGAAACGCGAGCAAACTTTTGCCGCCTTGGCCGGCCTTGTTCAGACACCTCTCCTTCCACCGCGGATTGTACAGAAAGTGACACAGTTAGGGCAGAAAAGCGATCGCCTTAAGTTTTTGTGGCACACAAGCACATTTAACAACGATATAACAAGGGTGGTGCGAGGCCGCTCTCAGTTTTTGTTGACACACACGAAAAATCCACGGAACCCTAGCCATAAGCAGCGTCGCTGTAAAATAATAGTAAAAATAACTACTACTTCGAGCGGAAGCTCAGCATATAAAGCGCTAACCTAAAAAAAAAACAAAAAAAAAAACAACACCTCTAAAAATTGGTGCTTCTAGAAACTTGTGGCGAATAAAAAACGGGTCTCTGTTTCTGCGGTGCGTTACTGCAGAAACGTCGAAAGCCAATATCATTTTCAAGTTTCTTTCGATTAAGGCCATATTCTGCTGATAAAACTGAGACGAACCTCGTTACCTCACTCTAGCGACCGGGAAGCCCACATTGCTTTCCGCTCCCTAGCCAAACGCTGTTCTCTCTTTTTTAGCCTTAGTGAGCCGCCGGTTCTGATTAACAATCTCCCCTTAAATTCGGTCGCTTGTTTTCTTTTGAGGCATCGTTAAGACGACGAGAACAGTTCCAGCGAAGGTGTGTTTTTTATCGCAGATGAAAGATGGATGAATGTCATTGTGGCTAAACTATACCCTTCGTATCGTGAGGCACGTAGCTTGATCAACCTAGCCTATAAGCATTTACACCACTGAACTTTTAAAATGGCTAGAAATTCCTTCTTCGTGAAATCATCTACACCAACAACTTTTTAAATTATGAAACTTCTCTTGACGATCAATCTTCAGACTTCTTTTTAGTGTATGTAATCCTTCGGTACTTCGCTCGTACAACTCGCCAGCATAACCCACTGCTCTTGCAAAATCAGTTATTACTTAAAGGAAAGCAGGACAAAGCCCAGTGAACTTCAAAACCATATGTTTAGCGTCTCGCCATGACTATGGTATACGGCCCATATCTGTCTATATTCAAAAAATATTTATCCCCATATGCATTTGTCCTTAACTCTCCTGTTCTCGCCTCGAACCATTGAGAGGTTCTCCGTGAATTAAAATACACCTGTTCCTTTTTATAACATATTTTCTCACCTGTAGATTGTTAAAATTACTTTTTCTTGCATGCTTTCCTCCTACATTGTTTTTTCTGCATCTTTTAGTTTCTTTGCCACTGTACTAGACTGCTCAGACTCTTCACTAGTGTGAAGGTAATTAAAGGTCGTCTTTCTGGATCGGTTCATCCATTTTGCGTCTAAATACATGCACGAATAATTGCTTGTACTCCTTCGCCCACCGTGTATCGTCTATTTCCGTTAACCTTTGTTTAAATTTCAGTTTACTTATCGCACCTGTATCCTGACAGTACGACGAACCCCTTTCCCTTTGCGCACCTCATTTGGAGTGTTCCCGTACGCTACCAACGGCACTTCACCTACTCCCTTTTGTCAACTTTGAAATCTTGGTTGAGATTGGGACCTCATGCACAGTACCTACTCGCCGAAGGGTGGTCCAGGCACCAATATACTTTTTTTTATATAACCCTGACCACCTGATGTTCATTAATTGTGATGGAATTTATTTCGGCAGTACTATATAACCAGCAGCCCAGCACCATCCGTCCACTCATTATATGATATGAGACTAAAAACGACATCGCTGAACTGAATCGGCAGCCCAATATAGCTCAGCTTGTTCGTCGTGCCAATGAGACAATGATAAAAAGAGAACACCTTTAGGCTAGGGACAAAGGAGCAAGGTGGGCTCGCTCTGCTACGACCAAGGGCTGAGCGAAGGAACGGGGTTCTTCTCAATTTCATCAGCGGAATATGACCTACACAGTCCGCAGCAAAGCAGCGCAAAAACACAGCACCGTTCTCTCAATTGCGATATTTATATGCAGTATTATTTCTTTTGAGAGCCGTAAAAAATACAATTTTTAATGAAAAGCGGCAGTAAAAGAAGAGGCATTGGCAAATAGTTTAAGCTATTTTTCTTTTCTTGCGTGGTGGCCACAGTGAATTCCATTGATGAAGGGACTGCTCCTTTTGTGTTTTAATGTGCCTTCTCATTCGTGGAACAAGCACCTTGAAGTTTGGTTACAATGAGGTCCCGAGCAGTTCAATTCGATGTCTGTCCGTCACGGCTGCACATTTACATCTCACCGCCTACAGTTTTTGAAAATATCTTCGCAGCAGTTGGTCTGAATATTGACTGGCAGAAGTTACCGGCTCGCAAACTATGGTGGAACAGGGCTGCCAAAGCTGCTTTATTTATATATATATATATATATATATATATATATACAACACGGGCACTTTACACCATCGTACGTGGTCTCCGAGGAAGATATAAACGAATATGTGCAGATGAATGAACCGTACTTAATCCAATGAATCAAATAATCAAAGTTTTCAGGAACCCGCCGAAAGCCGCGGAGCCAGAATTTGAACTCTGGGCCTCCCAATGTCCGGTCGGGTGTGCTAACCTCTACACAACTCCACCTTGGCTTTCTGGCATTTCCTACCTGTCTTATTAATGCACAAGAAACGATATGTATCCTATCGGAAGTGTTCTGGAAACACACGCCGCCGCGTGGAACGCGGTACGACGCTTAGTGTCACGTGGTACGTGCTCCAGAAATCCTCCCACTGTTTGTCTCGTCCCGTGTACATGTAGTATTCTTTGTTTATGAGCTTTAGAGACACGGTATCATCATTATCTGCGAGAATCAAGAGCCACCAGCGATCGGATGCTTTTTCCTCCTTTCTCTCCTCACACTTTTCTGTAAGTTCAGCTGGTTTTTACAATCTAAGCACGTTATTGAATATACAACACGGGCACTTCACACCATCGTACGTGGTCTCCGAGGAGGATATAAACGAATATGTGCAGATGAATGAACCGTACTTAATCCAATGAATCAAAGAAGAAAAGTTTTCAGGTACCCGCCGAAAGCCAAAAAAAACGGCGCAGCCAGGATTTGAACTCTGGGCCTCCCAATGTCCAGTCGGGTGTGCTAACCTCTACGCCACTCCACCTTGGCTTCCTGGCGTTTCCTACCTGTCTTATTAATGCACAAGAAACGAAATGTATCCAATCGGAAGTGTACTGGAAACACACGCCGCCGCGCGGAACGCGGTACGACGCTTAGTGTCACTTGATTCCTTGAATTAAGTACGGTTCATTCATCTGCACATATTCGTTTATATATATATATATATATATATATATATATATATATATATATATATATATATTCGTTTATATATATATATATATATATATATATATATATATATATATATATAAACGAATATGTGCAGATGAATGAACTGTACTTATATATATATATCGAAGTTTGGGTGGCAGGTCAAGGGGGGGGGGGGCGCTTATGAAGAAATTGCGAGCCATACTTTTATTGATTTATTTTATTTAACCCCGCTGCAAGCAATACGGCCCAAGCATCGAGGGGAAAAAAGGTTTGGGTACACACCCTACTGAATTCATACACTCGCGCTAAAAAACCTTCAGCTTCCAAACAGAGATTCGTGTGTACCAACGCGCTGAGCATCGCGACACCACAAGCATACATAATAGTTCAAAAAATAAAATACAGCTCTCAAGAAAACACATTCAATGTGTTGTTTGTGTTAACACCAGCACTCACAATTCGTATCTATACATACATATACATACACCTTTACGCGTGCATGGTACGCGTAGGTCTTGAAAAATAAGTAGGAGCAAAAGCATATACTTGAAGGAATCCCCGGAAATGTTTCTTTCTACCCTTTCAATAACGAACCATATGGACCCGAAAAGAAGCGGATGCGGCTATCGAGCCGCACTTTCGCCATCCTCGGGCTACAAAACAAGTACACAGACCGACACGCGTACAGAAATTGTAAGATCACGGTGCATTCTCTACGCTGGATTGGTTGAATCTATGAGCACACGCACAAAAATATTGCGAGTTCCGTGTACCCTTTTGGCACTTTTTGATTGGCCCTATTGTCTCGTGGCACCCATTGCGCTCGGACGAAAGGTGAAACCAACTACAGCTCGACGCTGAACTTGAGCAGGAAGCATATTTGGTGCACCGTACAATGTCGAACTCGTCGTTATCTGTTGGCGCGGCCAAAAGCGAACGAATAATTCACGAGTCTTGTACCCCGTTTGCAAACGGTCCCCCAGTCACACGTCAATAGAGAGCACGGAGGCAACGGCGCAAATGGACGCTATCGGGTAAACTGAGTGTCCAGCCGTGCGTATACATGGCTCACACATAACATCGTCGTGGCATGCAGCGATTGTTTGGGGACGGAAAAGCGCCAGAAAGCGCCGAGTAACCAGGTCTGCTGCGCTCCGAAAATTTCCGCGCGTAGGACTTTGGTAAAGATCGACACCGACCCCAGACGTATAGTCCCTCTATCCTGAACGTCATGCGAAGCAATACGTTCGCTCTAAATGAGCCCCTTGGCTTCGCTAGACTTTCAAAACTGCCCGGATTTCATATTCTGAAATATGCGGTACTTGGAGAAAGTCGATCCGCATCGCAAACAGCGATTACCGCCGAAAACGGCGCTGTCTTCGCATCGAATATTTTTAGAATTGTTTCGAACATTTAAAATCGCTTTCCCCGCAAGTAGTGCTGCAGGAAGAATAAACGCGATAAATTCACGGTCCGTAGAGAGGTAATCCGAACACGTCCCCGATCGACTACAATCTGTTTCTCTTTTTGGATGCACCACGGAGGACGTTGCGAGCTCTTAGTTGGTTTCACGTGACCTTTTGGGAAGGACGTGACGACGGGAGGTGCGCGTGGTCACGTGTTATGTTTACAGCACTTGATTGGCTAGAACTGCTAGTAGCGCACTCAGTGCATGTACCTGCGGTCCATCGTAAGATGATACATAAAAATAACACGCCGATTACCGAAATAGTTCCGGCCCGAGTTCGATCCTGTTCGCTTTGATCCGTCCGGACAGTTTATTGGCGTCCGCTCGAGTAAGTGCTCCGTGACGCATATAAAAGGCTCCTGGGCGACGATCGCACGGTAGTGATCAAATCGGTCATCTGAGATGGAGAGATCGTACGCCGGTGTTCAGACAAACAACATTCTGTAACAACAAAATTAACTTGTGTATGCCAGGTCTTTTATCTCCGCGATATTTGTTTTTTATTATTAGGAAGCCTGTGTCACGGACAAAAGATAAAGTCATAAACTGCGACGTGTCACTTACCCACGTGACTCCGATGATTTGAATAAAAACTACCGTACGTAAAGTTATTTGCTAAATCCTTGAAACAAGGGAAAATAAAAGTTACGGAAGAGAAAGTTATAAATGACAGGAGGACAAGTAAAGAAGCCTATCTGCGAAAAACGCAAAACATGGTGACGAGAGTACGACCGCGTTGCTTAAATACTTGACCGAAGTTAAGCTGGTGTTTCATTTTCTTTAGGTCATTGTCTCTCTTCGTGATTCTCCCTGGCTAATCTTGAAACACTTTTTTTTCTGCCCCACAGCTCGTCGGCAGGAGACAACCGCAAGTCCTTCCCACCATGCCAGGTGAGATGCGTAGAGCTTCACTCAACAGCTTCTATATGACAAGGCCGTAGAGCCGGAGTTATTACGTCACGGACTGGAGGCGAGGGTGAGGCAAGGATTGGGAGGGGGGGGGACCGAGTGCTGCGTCAGTGTTCGGCTAGGACTCATGTCCTCTCTGATTGGACAGGAGCCGCAGCCTGACTTAGCACTCGGGTCTAATGCGTGCCCCTCCCTGGACTCCTATAGGTGACGTAATAACTCCGGCAGTACGGACTTGTTAGATAGTGTGTGTTGCTTCCCTTCAATCGGATGTCACAGACAGTCAGTTCCCTCGCGACGTCATATGGACAGGCGGTGACCACAGGGGCCTGTGAATATTTACACGCATATTACCGGTGATTTGTGGCCTCATATTTTACAATGAGAAGTCTAGCGACGTAATATTAAAAATTTGAATTGGCCATGAAAAGGTACTTTTATAGAGCTAACATCGTGTTCCGGAATGGTGTATAACACTCTAATCCTGAATGGCTCCGAGCTTTGGAGAATGCATTCCGTTTCACGTATTGCATATTTATCCGCACGAATGCGTATTTACATCACCATCATGTTTTTTCTTTCTCGATAGAAAGAATGAATGGCAGTGGCTATATTCTTTTTAAGCGACGGTAGCTTGCTCCACCTATCTTAGATTATGATGATGCTTGTGCGTTTTAGAGCGCAGCTCTTAGGCGCCCGTTTCCGGCATGAGTGGCGTCGCCGTCGCCGTCGCCGTCGCCGTGGGCGTAACCGCGCGGTGCATTTTCCAGCGGAAACATTTCCCCGCTAAATATAGCGAAAAAAATTTCCACGATGAATCTAGCGGAAAAACTTCCCCCGCTAAATTTAGCGGAAAAATTTCCCCGCTAAATTCAGTGGAAACATTTCCCCGCTAAATCTAGCGGAAAAATTTCCCTGCTAAATCCAGCGAGAAAGTTTCACTGCTAAATCTAGCGGAAAAGTTTTCCCGCTAAATCTAGCGGAAAAATTTCTTGGGGGTCACGTGACCTTCCCCTCCTGAGAACACGTGACCCTCAGTACCCTTCCCTCCTCCTCCTCAAGAGCTGCGCTCTAGTTCGGCGTTACTGGGAGTTGTAAACGGCTTTCATTTTTGTACGTAGTGTTACAAAATAAATCGTTTTCTGTAAAGTAGCCTCACTTGCATTGGTCTCATGCAGTCCCTGATTTGTGAATAATTAAACAAAAAATAATTGCCAACGATATGAGGCTTCCCAAAACGTATCCCAATAAAAATATGTTACAATCTCTGAGCTGGTGCTGATGATCTTTTATTTTCCTATTGTTTTATGGAAGCTTCGAGGTGGCTTCTATGCAAAATTTTTATGTAACAACCGCCTCCAGAAATGTAAGTACCACTAATTAAGCTGAGCTTTTAATGCAAGATGACATTAATGAGCTCGTTTTTCGCTAGTATGTCTTCAGTTTGAGGCACTTGAAGCAAAGGTTCTCGCTATTTAAATTCGAGTTTTCGAGGCGCATTCAGCAAGAGATGGAATGCGTTTGTCCCATTTTCAGCGCCCGCCTCTCTCGTGTTTTGTGTTTTATAATATAACCATCTTCAGCTCGAGCGAACGCCCAACGAAACATGGGAAAAGTCAGAAAGAATGAAGAAGTAACTCGGCAGTGGTAGACGTCTTTTAAAAAGCGGAAGACATTATCAACCATTCTACTTTGGTCGCGACGCTCTCATTTACCATTTTTCTTGCAACGTCAAAACCGTCGAATGACCCATATTTACTGACTTGGTAGCTTCTTTTCCTCAAGAATGCGTGCCACTTCTTATAGTATAAGCACACCAGAAGAACGACTGTTAGTGGTAAGTGATTGCGGGAAAGAATGAAACTTTCTATTATATTGGAGGTCCGCCGGTTTTTGAGCTACACAAACTTAACACATGTTTGGAATACCCAGACTTTGCTCCTCCCGATGTGCTTTTTATTATCTTTCAATTCAAACTATCCATCGAAAAAACGGAAAATGAAGATTATGCCATAACAAACATTCAAAGCTTTCCGCGTTCTCCAGAGGAGTGACATCATATGTTGTATAACTGGCGAGTCGAGCAGGCAATCTTAAAAATACATTATTTTCCGCATTTGTTTTTGATTTGCTGGCGTGAGCTTCCCCAGCATTCATTTTACACCATCAAACTACTTGTATAACCCTCAGGGACAAGCTGTACTGCCCACATGCTACATCATCTGACGTCATGCTTTCAATGTTGTCAGTACAGACCAACTCACAGTCTCTCAGTCCAAATCTAGAAATGCAATAACTTCGAAAAAATATATATGGAAACTTGTAATTTGTGTTATTAGTTCAGGTGTGTCTATTGATGTGTTGAACCATAGCTTTCTATACACACAAAGCCTGGCAGTTCGACAACGGAGCCATAAAGTGCCCATGGTTGCAGATTTGGAGCGTGAAACTCTAGAAGCAAAGAGCTTCAAAGAGCCATTTTTGGGGGAACCTGGACGTCAGCACACAGCCTTTGCAGCAGCGAGGATCCGAAACACACCTGTTCGCTCGGGAGAAGTGTGTTTCGGCGTCTCGCCGCAGCGGGGCGCCGGTTACGTGGCTCTCCTCTCGTCCGTTGTCTCCCTCCCTACCTTTTCCCTTTCGCCGGCCGGTTTTCGTGGCGATCTGCCAGGCTTTGTCAGTATATAGGAGGCTATGGTTGAACTAATTTTGAGGCAAATTAATCGATATCAATGTTTCGCCTTTAACCGACATGTCGTCAAAACAGAGCTTTATCCTTAAAAAAAATACGAGCTGCCCTCTGCGTCTTTCGAGTTACGTGTGCGAGCCGATTTGAGCGTGCGCAGTCGCATTTCAATTTTCCCTTTACCGCTGTTCATGAGCTTCGCCGTTTCTATTTAAATCGCGCAGCCACTCTACCGGTACACTGGCCAATTGTTTGCTTTGTTTTCATCGAGCAAAGTAACGTAACGTCGTCATCGCGGCTAGTCACGAAAGCCGCCGACTAGTCGTATTTGCCGTTCCGCACTGGGAGCACCAATTTGGGCAAGTTTATAAATACCCGTGTTTCGAGCAATGACGGAAAGCCGGTGTCATGTTGCCCGACTCGGTCGATCCGCTCATCGATCCACGGTCCACCGGAATAGAGCTCCCGGGTGACGCCCCTCCCTGCATTCCGCTCTTTGTCTGATGCCGGGCTGGGACGATAGCCGCCGCTGCGCCGACGGGCGGAGAGCGCAACAATTACGGTAATTTCTACCAAATTACCGAAGTAAAATGCACTGCTGCCTTTCTGCCGATCAATAATTTCTTTTCAACAATCAAAGTGGGAGGAGTGTTGTAAGAAAAGTAAGTGGCAAAACGAAATAAAATATTTTTATTGGTTCGCTTATATGCTGCAGCATTCTGTGTAAACAGCAAAGCCGTAAATACTTAAAGAATAATAGATATTCAATGTAGTCAAGTATCGGACAAAGTATACGTGAAACGTGCACTTCTTTGACGGCAATCTTCGTCGAAGTCTGAGAATTATCATTGAGATATCTACAAATACACTTAGTTTGTGACTGTTTGTTTAAGGTTCTTACAATTGAACGGAGTATTCGTAAAGGCACATTCCCGACGCAGCTCAAGCTGCATTGCTCGGTCGGCTTGAGGTAACTTGAAGCAAATTCAAGGTCATAGTGAGGTACGGGTGGCGTTATACGCTATGATATGGCCGTGTACTAATTTAGACCGTCGTTAGATCAATTTACAAAAATCAAAGCTTCGCAATTTTACAGGCCGAAGTGGCAAGGGTGTCAGTAAGCCTTTATCTTTTAAAAATGTTCGTATTATCCTGAGAGGTCATTGTAGGCAAAGCGTCTTTTTTCCTCATTCTTAGGGTGTCTACAAGTATACTTGCTTCTGTAGAATTTACTAATATCAGGCTTACAACTCGTGTACAAGGGTGTAGAGCCGATGTAGTTATCCGTTAGTTCGTTATAATGACAGCTTTACTTGGCGCTGGCAGTCTGCAGAGTTTCCATTTATGTGGACCAAATTAATGACTGTACAAATACCTTAAAGTCTAGTCGTCTTGCATTGTTTCTGTCAAGTTCAGGAACGCCAAATGCAGTGGTCTCACTGTGGATGATTTACCGAGCTTTTCATATAAACCTTCGTGATTCCAGCTTGTTCATTTTTTACAGCCCCATGTAACTTTAACGTCTTCTGAGAAATTCCCGTAAACAGCAAAGAAGGCCTGACTGATATGGGACGGTCCCGCCTAAGAATTGATTCGGCTGGTGAGCAATGATTATACACCCCCGACACCCTCCTAACGGGACCTCGAGCTGTGTCCCCCAAACGATAAATATTGTACACAAAGTACACAAACTTACTTCCACCAGCTCCCCCCCCCCCCCTTCCCAAGATTAGGAGCACCCCCCAGATTTACACACCAGGATACTTTCCTGCGAACGAGTGCCAGCACAAGAGTTTGGGCTAAAGCTAAGGCATAAAGCGAGCAAGTTCAACCAAATAGAAAACATCGAGGAGGGGGGAATAGCCGAAAAGCAAACATGATTTTTTGTATGACCGGGTACAAGAACTGCTAGAAAAACGGGCAAGGCATGTACAAATATACGAAAGACAAAGATCAAGTAAGACAACGCCGAGTAGGCTCACCGTCGCATTCTATCGCATTTTTCTTCTTCCCCCGGGCAGAAGAAAGCTGTTCATGTTTATTTGTTTTTGTCTTTTTCACCGCTTCACCGTTTCCAACTTTTTCGATGTCTCCCGCCACCTACACAGACATCAAACGCGGGTCCGTGCCCCTCGATTCGCGGGTTCACAACTTGCGTAACAGACGTTGTAGCCTCGCTCGAGGGGGTCGAATTCTTTTTGTCTTTGATGTGCTCTACTGTAATCTAGCATGCTGTTGAGGCACGGCTGGAAAGCTCCCGGCGCGAGGCTAAGAGCATCGTCTTCGAGGCCAGGGA